TGTAAAAGTCGCGTTGTCTTTTGTATTCCTTCGATATTTGATGCAGAAAATTCGTTCGTAAAGAAATTAATTGATACCAATTGACGGTTATTTCCATGATAACTAAATCCGCTGCTTGATGGATTGTAAGCCATAATATCTATAAATTATGTATATATATTAAAAAAAAAAAGAAGTTTTAACCAAAACATTTAATGGTCTATTCGCTAATAATTTGCCCGTATGGTTTCATCAAATCTCTAATTTCAGGTAAAATTATAATTTAGGCAGATCTATTTTTGAATATTACGTACATTTCATCTTTCCGCGTTTGATTTGTTTTCGACCTGATGGGTTTAAAGGTCTACTAAATTCAATTGTCGTAATGCCACCAGAAGATGATGATGTATTTGGGTTTTTAATTTCAAGACCTTCAGAGGTTTCTTTTATAGGTGGATGATAACCGGCCTCAGCGGCACGATAATTTGATAATTCAACCTTATTATCTTTAACCTATTAAAAAAAAAATCAACGGATTAGTGTATATACCAGTTTCAAAGCTAACAGACAATAATTCCCTCAAGCTTACAATGCCTATGATAAATTCCGCTCCTTTCATACCGTTATCGGATGGATCAAATCCCTTAATAATCAAGATATTAGTTAGTTATTTGAAAGTTCAATTAAAGAGAGAGATATATATAATAATCTCTTACCATTCCAAACCAGCCTTCACCTCCTAAAGTTTGTAGTTCGACTTTAAAATGAATATGAGTGTCATCCAGACGATATCTAACGATATAAGAGGTCCAAGTACTGACTTTACTTGGATAATCTCCATCTTCCCCACCATCTCCTGAAGATTGAGGTTGAACTGTCCAAATGCTTTTAACAAATTGAGAATCTTTTTTGTCAAGGTTACGAATTATAATATCACGAAATGTAATATTCCTTAATTCAGCTTTTTCTTCTGTATTAAAAAGATCTGATTCCCACCAATTCTCATCAGTTTCTCGAATTCGATTAAACTATATATTTAAAAAAAATTGCATATTCGATGTTAATTTAATTAAAATTTAAAATTTTTTATGTTTTTGTTTCATTACCTGTCTCACTAAGCTTTCATTTATTAATTCCCCAAAATTTGAACCATCTTTATGATCTTCAGAATAAGCACCGACGTATGCCTCTAAAGTATCAGGTCCATTTGGATATAAAGATTCTAATTTATTTCGAATATCTGCATTACTCGTAATTTCATCCCATGAGCTTTTTCTCGGTAATTTATAAGCCTCCCGAACCGTGTTATATAATGGAATACCTATAATAAAGGTTACTCGTTAGATTCCATCAAAAATTTAATAAGAATTTTAATAATGAAATCGTACCGCGATCCCTTGACCTTGAAATATCAAATGAGGGCAAATCATAAGTATGAGAATCTGGACTTTTAAAATTTTTCACCTTAAATAATCAAAATTTGAAGTTAGTATAAAAAAACTCTTTTAGAATGGTTATATATATATTTTTTTATTTTTTTTAAAAAAAAAGAAGTATCCTACAGCATCGCTAAAAAAAATGTCAACTTCTTCTTGTCTTTGTAAAGCCATCGAACGTAAAACACGAGTTAACCCAAACGTTTCTAAAAGACTTTGATTGGTAATTTGGTTCAGAGTCAATTCAGCAATTGTGTCACCATAGTCATCTTGAATTCGATACGCATCGCTAATATGAATAAAATTCATTAGAAATTGATTCCAAGAAATATCGATTCTAAATATGAAATACCTTAATTCTGAATGACCATATCTGAATGCAACGGTGGCAAAGAAGGTATCAATACCAGGAACCAAATCTGGTTTGTACCCATTATATAAGGGAAGAGGTTGTCCAAGAACAGTGCCAAGATATTCTTCAGAGACAGTTTTTTGGAAATATGCAATATTCCATCGTCTTGCTTCATCAAAATACTGTTGATCAGTCCATGCATTACCATGCTGTTGAAATAGTTCATCGCATAATCTATTATGTTCGCGAATCCATACAGTATTAATGGCCAAAGTGAATAAAGTCCAAGCTCGTAGTGGAGTTATGCCCCACATATATCTGCCTTCGAGATCTTTTGCAGGATAATTTCCATCGGATGTTAATAATTTACAACTAGTTCCATCACGTAACATCGAGAGATCTTCATCCGATGTACCGTAGATTGTATTTAAGCGAAGGAATGAAGATCCATGATTAATTCCGTTACGTGCGGTATTTAATGGATTCGGATCAAATGTTTCGGACATGTTAAATGGAA